GGAGCAGAACCTGAGAGCTCACATCTCACACCACAAACAGGAAGCAGAGAGAACAAACCAGGAATGGAGCAAATCTTTTGAAACCTCAATGCCTGCTCCCAGTGACACGTACTTCCTCCAGCAAGATCTCCTCTCCCAAGTCACACACACACACACACACACACACACACACACACACACATGCACGCACACACACACACGCATGCACGCACACGCACACACACACACGCACGCACGCACAAACCTATGAGTCAAAATAAATCCCTTTATCCTTTAGCAATAAAAAAGTAGCTACTTTCGGAGAATTGGTGGGGTCATTGCTGTCATTATACTGGTCACATGGATTACAGGTCTTTGGAACTGGTATGTGGGAGAAATGTGGAAGCATGTGCAGCTGTGACCTGGTGAATCCTGATAATGCTGTGAGCAGAGCTTAGTGGGCCATTTTGGCAGGGTTTGGAAGCTGTGAATGCTGAGAAATCTGGGTAGTGAGTGATGGCTGGGCTTTTGAAGTTTCCAAGTGAGATAGAGAAAAGAGGTAGGGGACTAGAGAGATGGCTCAATGGTGAGGAGCTCTTGTTCTCAAAGGACCTAGGTTCAGTTCTCAGCCACCACATGGTAGCTCACAACCATTTGTAGTTCCAGTATTGGGGGGGTCTGATGCCCTCTTCTGGCCTCTGTGGGCATTGCAGGCACATGGTGCAGAGACAACAAGCAGACAAAACACACATACACATAAAATAAATACAAATCCTAAAAATTTAAAAGATTGAAGTAGAATAAAAATTATAAACCTTTAAAATACAGTAAAGAGAATATACTTCTAAAAATTTAGTAAAAAGACAAAGAAGGGAAGCATCAGAGGTGAAGTTAAAAAAAAAGGAAATTTAAAAAAGAATAAAAGAGTAAAGGACTGTTTGCTCAGTTTCTTTCCGGGTCTTTGAAGACTGGAGACTGACGGTTAATTGGGCAGGAGGGAGGACAGCTGAACTTGTGGAGTTTTGTCTGTTGGATAGTTTACACTGGTTGCTGAGCTTCCTTGCAGACATGCCTTGGCTTCAGTATTGCCTCTTCTTTGTGCCTCTTTGTTGTGCCCTCTACTGGCCAAAATGACCTTTATTGCCGCAGGACTTGATCAGGTTTTCTCACATTAGATACTCTGACAGTGGTACCTCCAGGGATAGTTGATGTTTGAATAAGGAGACATTTCTTCTGGGTATGTTGGGAGTGTGAGAAGCAATAGCATTGACACCCACATGGACCTAAGCCCTGTCATCATAATTCCCCAAATTCCTGCAAGTATGGATATCCCTGCTGGAGGGATGCAGCTGTAGATAGCACTGGTAGACCTTCAGGGTTTCCTACTCTACAGACATGTATGATAGATAAGTGGCTCCAGAGGTTAATCCATCCACTGACCTCATGCACAGAGCTAGAAAAATCCAAAATTACTTTCATTTAATGAGCTCTTCTGGCCATGAAGAGTGTGGCTACCTTTCCTTACATATTTCACCACTTGAGATGAGCTCCTACTACCTGCTGTTTATTGGCTTGACAACATCCAGACCTCCCCCATGTAATCGGATGTTCCCTGTCCCAACCACTCAGTCCCAAAGAAACACACAAAAACTTATATTAATTACAAATGCTTGGCCAATAGCTCAGGCTTGTTACTAGCTAACTCTTACACTTAACCCATATTTCTAGTTATGCTTTGCCACATGGATCATGGCTTACTATTTCATTTTTAACATATCCTGATTACTCTATGGCTGACTGGCATCTCCCCTGACTCCACCTTCCTTCTTCCCATCATTCTCAGTTTGGTTTTCTTGCCTAACTTCCTGCCCAGCTACCAGCCTGTCAGCTTTTTATTAACCAATGATAGTAATACATATTCATAGTGTAGAAAATGATTGTTCCACAGCACTCACCCCCCTACAATTGTGTCCTAGATTTCTGTTTCTTCCTATGGTTCTATAAGGCTACGTCTAGGCTCCCAGATTTGTAGCTCTCTGTCTCAGGTCCCTGCAGTAGCTCAGTTTTAAACAACAGATTCCCTCTGAAGACATCACTAGGAGATGCTCCTTGAATTGTATAGAATGACTAAATAAAATTTCTGCGCACTGCCTCCCCATTCAAAAGAGGAATTACCACCTCACTAAAAACCTGCACCTGGATTTGAGGCTCAAAAGAGCTCTAGGCTTGTCTGGAGGGGATACTGTCAGTCTGGTTTTACCTTGGCTGCCTGGCATAATTTTTGGATGAGGCTCTAGCTTCCTCCTAATACCAAAGAACTGAGAAGCTTGAACTGTGTTCTTCTGGGCTTACTTAATTTTTGCCTGTGTATGTGTGTGTGGTGTGCATGTCTGTGTATATATATGTACAGTGGCCAGAGGTCAGCATCGGGTGTCCTCTTTGGCCACTCTCAACCTTCTATATTGAAACAACGTCTTGGGTAGAGGCTAGTTTTCCTTCTCTCAGCAGTCATCAGTTGCCTCCTTGTAGTTCTTCGTTTAGAGCTGGGGGACCTTTGAAAACTTAGTGTTATTGTTCCACTGCCATTTCTTTTTTTTCCCTTTTTTTTTGAGACAGTGTTTCTCTGTGTAACAGCCCTGGCTGTCCTGGAACTTGCTTTGTAGACCAGGCTGGTCTCAAACTGAGATCCGCCTGCCTCTGCCTCCCAAGTGCTGAGATTAAAGGCCTGTGCCACCACTGCCACCTGGCTCCACTGCCATTTCTAGGAGAGAGTCTTACAGTAGACCTCCTGGTCCTTTGACTTTTATAATCTTCCCACCCCTCTACCACAATGTTCCCTGAGCTACAGATAAAGGGTTGTGATGGAGATGTATTCATTGGGGCTGGGATCCACATGGTTGATGATCTCTGCATTGTGACTGTTATGAATTATGAACACACGGGAAACCCCCAGCTAGCCGGGCCAGGGTATCCCATGAGTGCAGGGGACCATGCTGGCATGCTGGGTAGATGCAGCAGTGGGCTGGCAGGTGACCCACTCCATGTGGGCATGGCAGTGGGGTGGCGGGGTGGTGGGTGGATACTCACAATCCAGAGGCTGCATCTGCACAGAAATGGTTTATTATAATAGAGAGACAAAGAGAAGATAGGAAAGAGAGAGAGAGAAGAGAGAAAAAGAGAGAGAAAGAGAGGGAGGTTGAGGGGTGCACGCCTCATGGGAGTGGAGGGAGAGAGAGAGGTGGGGTTGGAGATTTTACTTGTGGTTTTCTGTGATGCTCTCCACTTACTGTAAAGAGAAGCTTCTTTGATGAAAAGTAGCTACACTTATGATGTTATTCTATTTTAGTTAAAAAATGTTTTTTTTTTTCTAAAGCAAGGTCTCTCACTTGACTCAGAGCTCAGCAAGTTAGCACCAGGAATACAAGTGATCCATTCTTTCTGCTTGGCATTTTTTTTTTATGTAGGCATCAAGGATCTGAACTCTGGGTATCATCTTTGCACAGCAAGTGGTTTAGTTAGGGAGTCATCTCCTAGTCTGGTGACTTATTTTTCTTCAGTGTTTTGCTCCTTTTTTCCTCCAGCACCTCTCAGTGGTTCTAGCGTGACTGTTGTAGATTTAGAAAATTCTTCCCTTTTCTTCTTGGAATGGAGCCCATTCTTCTTTGAACAGAATATTCTAGTAAGTGGGCCACACAGGGACAACACCCACTACACCATCTTACCCCAGCCACTGTATATGAGCTTCTTTTTAAAAATGTATCTATTTATTTTACATCTTGGCCACAACATTCCCCCATCCTCCCCTCCCAGTCCCTCTCCCCATCCCCCCCTCTCACCTCTCAGGCCCCTCCACTTCCATCTCAATCCAGGAAAGGGTAGGTATCCTATGAGTATCAATAAAACATGGCATATCAAGTTGCAGTAAGACTAAACATATCCCTCATGTATTAAGGCTGGGAAAGGTGGCCCAGTATGAGAAGTAGGGTCCCAAAAGCCAGTAAAAGAGTTGAATACAGCCCATGTTTCCACTCTTAGGAGTCCCACAAGAGGACCTAGTTACACAACTGTAACATATATGCAGAGTGCCTAGATCAGTCTCATGCAGACTCCCTGGTTGTCCGTTCAGTCTCTGTGAACCCCTACGAGCCCAGGTTAGTTGATTGTGTGAGCCTTCCTGTGGTATCCTTGATCCCTCTGTCTCCTACACTCCTTCCTCCTCCTCCTCCTCCTCCTCCTCCTCCTCCTCCTCCCCAGGATTCCCAAACTCCACCTAATGTTTGGCTGTGGGTCTCTGCATCTGCCTCCATCAGTTGCTGGATGACACCTCTCTGATGACAATTGGGCCAGGCACCAATCTGGTCACAGGAGATGGCCAGTTCAGGCTACTTATCACTATTGCTAGGGTCTAAGCTGGGGTCCTCCCCGTAGACTCCTGGGAGATTCCCCTGTGCCAGGATTCTGCCCAACCCTGAAGTGCAACCTCTCCAGCAGTCCCCCTCAGCACTCTCTCTCTCTCTCCATGCCCCCCAACCTAATCGATGAGCTGCTTTTTAAATGAAGATGTTACCTCATGTGTCCTGCAACACAAATGCCAATGTATATCTTTGAAGAAACAATGTACTAAGGAAAACAAGGAGGGGGCTGTGTCATATGCTCATTTTTTTTTTGCCAAGGGAATGAAGAAAGCCAATGAAATGCTAGGAATAGGAATAGATTGCCAAGTGATGTTGGCTGTCCTCACTGAGAGCTTTTATGTCTAAGTGTGAGTCCAGCCAAAATTATGTCTTTAAAAGAAAAAATAAGTAATCAAACCTTGGAAATTTTTAATTAATTTTAATTAAAATATAGTTACATCACTTCCCTCCTTCCCTTTACTCCCCAAACTCCTCCTATGTACCTCCCCCACACCATTGACTGCCTTTTGCTTTATTATTATTACATATATGTTATATGTAAACAAGTACACATATATAAATATAACCTTGTGAGTCTGTTTTTGTTCCTTGTGAAGGGCCCCAGCATACTTGCTTAGCTTAACGCCATTTTTGAGCAGGGCCTGAAAAGTAACTAGAGGTCAGAAAAACAACTTGTACCCTGGATGAGAGCCAAGTCAGCAGGCGTGTCGAGCTCGGGGAAAAACCACGAGCTGTCCTGAGTTTGAACCTGGCCTCATACGAATCGTCCAATCAGAACCCTGTAAACTATGCTTCCTGCTTCTGTACCCGCCCTTCCGCTGCCCAACCCTATAAAAACCCTCCACTCCAGCCCGTGGGCGCGCCAGTCTCTTCAGCCTCTGGAGGGACTGTATCGCCCCGGGTACCCGTGTTCCTGAATAAAGCCTCTTGCTGTTTGCATCTGACTTGTGGTCTCGGTGTAATCTCTGGGCGAGGGTCTCTCCAGAGGGAAGACTCCAGTCGGGGGTCTTTCATTTGGGGGCTCGTCCGGGATTTGAGACCCCCGCCTCGGGACCACCGACCCACTGTCAGGAGGTAAGCTGGCCGGCCACTGTCTGTCTGTATTGTCTCAGTCTGTTTACTTGTCTTTCATTTTCGTCGGACGTCCTAAGTCAGGTCTGAGTCGGTGGGGGCTGAAGGAGCTGACGAGCTCGGACTTCGCCCACCGAAACCCTGGAAGACGTTCCACGGGTATCTGAAGTCCCCTCTGGGGCACGGAAAGTCCCCTCTGGGGCACGGGAAGTCCCCTCTGGGGCACGGGAAGTCCCCTCTGGGGCACGGTTTTTCGGGGCCACCCACGCATCAGAAGGATACGTGGTACTGGCAGGGGACGGAGAATTCAAACACTCCGCGTCCCCATCTGAGTTTTTGTTTTCGGTTTTACGCCGGAGCCGCGCAGCGAAAAATTCTGTGGTCTGTCTTGTCTGTTTGTTTCTCGTTGTGTGTTTAACCCTTCTTTATTTGGAGACCACCATGGGACAGGCTGTCGCCACCCCATTGAGCCTAACCAAGGACCACTGGTCCGATGTTAAGGCCCGAGGAAACAATGAAGGTGTCATTGTCAGGAAGAAGAAATGGATCACCTTCTGCGAGGCCGAATGGGTCATGATGAATGTCGGCTGGCCGCGAGAGGGATCTTTTAACCTCTCTCTTATTTCGCAGGTGGAGGGTAAGGTTTTCGCCCCTAGCCCTTATGGGCATCCCGACCAGGTCCCATATATCACCATCTGGAGATCACTGGTCGAGAACCCATTTCCATGGGTTAAGCCTTTCCTTCCGCAGCCCCCTCCAGTCTCTGGGCCTTCTGCGCCCCCCAACCCAGACTCCTCCCTTTACCCCGTGCTCCCTCACAAGGAGACTCCTAAGCCTCCAGTCCTTCCCCCAGACCCCAATACTCCCCTTATAGATCTCCTGACGGAGGACCCACCACCATATCGAGCCGGACCACCTGGAGAGCCGGCCAAAGCGGCCCCAGCCGCCGCCCCGGTGGCGGCGTCCCCGGCCGTGCCCGTGGCAGATCCGGAAGTCACCTCGACTCGCAGGACCCACGGGGCTGAAGAAGAGGACGCAGCCCCGTCCCCCATTGCCGGCCGCCTCCGCGGCCGCCGGGATGGCCCCCCTATTGAGTCCAGGGCCTTCCCGCTCAGAGAGGGGCCGAATCGCCAGTTGCAGTACTGGCCCTTTTCAGCCTCAGACCTCTATAACTGGAAACAACATAATCCCCCTTTCTCCAGGGATCCTGTTGCCTTAACCGGCCTAATTGAGTCCATCCTAGTGACTCACAGGCCGACTTGGGACGACTGTCAGCAGCTCCTGCAGACCCTCTTAACAGTAGAGGAGAAGCAGAGAGTTTTCCTGGAGGCCCGGAAGCAGGTTCTGGGCGACGATGGGAGGCCAACCCAACTCCCAAATATCATCGATGCAGTTTTTCCCTTGACCCGCCCAGACTGGGACTTCAATACACCTGAAGGTAGGGAGCATCTACGTCTCTATCGCCAGTTGCTCTTAGCGGGTCTCCGAGCGGCCGCCAGAAGGCCTACCAATTTGGCTCAGGTAAGGAATGTGATACAGGGAAAGGAAGAAACACCCGCTGCATTTTTAGAGAGGCTGAAGGAGGCTTATAGGATGTACACTCCGTATGATCCAGAAGACCCAGGGCAAGCACCAGGTGTCATCCTATCATTTATCTATCAGTCTAGCTCAGATATCAGAACCAAATTGCAGCGGCTGGAAGGTTTACAGGCGCTAGGTTTGCCAGACTTATTGAAGGAAGCAGAGAAAGTGTTCAATAAGAGAGAAACTCCTGAGGAGCGTGAGGAAAGGAGATGGCAGAAACAAGAGGAAAGGGACAAGAAACAGCATAGGGAGATAAAAAAGGTTTTGGCTGCCGTTGTGTCTCAGGGACAGCGGAGAGAGGGAGATAGGTCGGGAGAGCGAAGGAGGCCACCCCTTGATAAAGATCAATGTGCTTACTGCAAGGAGAAGGGACACTGGGCCCGAGAGTGCCCCAAGAAGCCACAAGGACCCCGCCGGCCCAAGCCCAAGACTGTAGACCTCCTTAGTCTGGAAGACTAGGGGAGTCGAGGCCAGGAGCCCCCCCCTGAGCCTAGGATAACCCTCAAGATCGGGGGGCAGCCCGTGACCTTCCTGGTTGATACTGGTGCCGAACATTCAGTCCTAACCCATGCCGGAGTGCCTCTTAGCCGGCATTCTGCACTGGTGCAGGGGGCAACTGGAAACAAGAGGTATTATTGGACTGCCGAGAGAAAAGTCCAACTGGCATCAGGGCAAGTAACTCACTCCTTTCTGCACATACCTGAATGCCCCCATCCGCTGTTAGGACGGGACCTATTAACCAAATTGAAGGCACAAATCTATTTTGATGAGAAGGGACCGAGGGTCACGGGTCCTAAAGGAGACTCTCTACAAATCCTTGCCCTCAGTTTAGAAGAAGAATACCGTTTGTTTGAACCAGAACCCCCGGAGAAATCTCCTGAGGAACTACAGAACTGGCTGAGAGAGTTTCCTCAGGCCTGGGCAGAGACTGGGGGCTTGGGGCTGGCACACGATCAGCCACCGCTGGTGATCTCACTAAAGGCCTCCGCAACTCCCGTTTCAATTAGACAATACCCAATGTCACGGGAAGCTCATGAGGGGATCAAGCCCCATATTCGAAGGCTCCTAGACCAAGGGGTGCTAAAGCCCTGCCAGTCCCCTTGGAACACCCCTCTCTTGCCTGTTAAGAAACCGGGGACAGGGGACTACAGGCCGGTCCAGGACTTGAGAGAGGTCAATAAGCGGGTGGAGGACATACACCCCACGGTGCCCAACCCCTATAACCTTCTGAGCACCCTCCCACCGACCCACGTCTGGTACACTGTGCTAGACCTGAAGGATGCCTTCTTTTGTTTGAGACTGCACCCTCAAAGTCAAATGCTATTCGCTTTTGAATGGAGGGACCCAGAAAAAGGGCTTTCGGGACAGTTAACCTGGACCCGGCTCCCTCAGGGCTTCAAAAATAGCCCAACCCTCTTTGATGAGGCCCTACATGCAGATCTGGCCGGATTCCGGGTCGAACACCCAACCCTGACTCTGCTCCAGTACGTGGATGATCTACTCCTGGCAGCCAGGAGTCGAACCGAGTGCCTGGAGGGCACTCGAGCCTTATTGGCCAGACTTGGACAAAAGGGCTATAGAGCCTCAGCCAGAAAGGCTCAAATATGCCGAGATAAGGTTACCTACCTGGGCTACACCCTGAGCGGGGGGCAAAGATGGTTAACAAGAGCGAGGAAGGAGACGATAATCTCCATCCCCCCTCCTCGGAACCCCCGCCAAGTTCGAGAGCTCCTGGGTACGGCTGGGTACTGCCGCCTTTGGATTCCTGGCTTTGCCGAACTGGCAGCCCCATTGTACCCCCTCACTAAACCAGGGGCCATGTTCCAATGGGAGGAGAAGCATCAGAAAGCGTTCCAACAGATCAAGAAGGCCTTACTCGAGGCCCCGGCTCTGGGTCTGCCAGATCTAACCAAGCCCTTTGAGCTGTTTGTGGATGAGAACTCAGGTTTTGCCAAAGGGGTACTGGTGCAAAGACTGGGACCTTGGAGGAGACCTGTAGCGTACTTGTCCAAGAAATTGGACCCGGTGGCTACAGGATGGCCATCATGCCTCCGCATGGTGGCAGCCATCGCCGTATTACTTAAGGATGCCGGGAAGCTGACTCTGGGACAGCCGTTGACTGTGCTGGCCTCCCATGCAGTGGAGGCCTTGGTCCGACAACCACCGGACAGATGGCTTTCTAACGCCAGAATGACTTACTATCAGGCCTTACTGCTGGACTCAGACCGGGTAAATTTTGGGCCGACAGTTTCCCTTAACCCTGCTACCTTGCTGCCACTGCCTAGCCCCTCCGGGGAGCATGACTGCCTCCAGATTCTAGCCGAAGCACATGGCACCCGCCCTGATCTGACAGATCAGCCGCTTAAGAATCCAGACGCTGTCTGGTACACAGATGGGAGCAGTTTCCTGGAGGAGGGGAAACGCAGAGCCGGGGCAGCTATAACCACCGAATCGGAAGTGGTATGGGCATCGTCACTCCCGCCCGGGACATCGGCCCAGCGCGCAGAACTGATTGCGCTCACCCAAGCTCTCCGGATGGCAGAAGGTAAGAAGCTCACAGTTTATACTGACAGCAGATATGCCTTCGCCACTGCGCATGCCCACGGGGAAATCTACAGACGGAGAGGCCTGCTGACGTCCGCGGGTAAGGAAATCAAAAACAAAAAAGAGATCCTAGACCTCCTAAAGGCCCTGTTCCTCCCGCTCCAACTCAGTATTGTCCACTGCCCAGGGCATCAAAAGGATGACTCTGCGGTAGCCAGAGGGAATCGGCTGGCGGATCTGACTGCCCGAACAGTGGCTTCCCAGCCAGCAGGGAGCAGCCAGTTGATGGCCATACAAGAACCACAGCCTGAGAGAGACCCCGTGCCCTATAGCCCAGAAGACCATGAGCTAGCAAAGAAAATGGGGGCGGACTGGGAACAAGGAAGACAGGCATATATACTAGGGGACCGGATGGTCATGCCAACCTCCCATACCCGATACATGCTAAGATTCCTCCATGCTTTGACCCATTTGAGCAAAAACAAGATGAAGACCCTATTGGACAGAGAAAACACCTGGACAGTGCTGCTGAACCAGGATCAGGTACTTCAGCAGGTAACTTCTACCTGCCCAGCCTGTGCTCAAGTCAACGCAGGAAAGGTTCATCTAAACAAGGGGGCCCGCCAAAGAGGCCATCGTCCTGGTGTTCATTGGGAAATAGACTTTACAGAAGTAAAACCCGGACTCTATGGGTACCGGTACCTCCTGGTCTTCGTGGACACTTTTTCTGGATGGATCGAGGCATTTCCAACCAAGAATGAGACGGCTAATGTGGCAACAAAGAAACTGTTGGAAGAAATCTTCCCCAGGTACGGGATGCCTCAAATATTGGGGTCGGATAACGGGCCTGCCTTCGTCTCTCAGGTAAGTCAGAAGGTGGCCAAACTATTGGGGGTTGATTGGAAACTCCATTGTGCATACCGTCCCCAGAGCTCAGGACAGGTGGAACGAGCTAATAGAACAATCAAGGAGACTTTAACCAAATTAACGCTTGCAACTGGCACTAGAGATTGGGTGCTCCTACTTCCCTTGGCTCTCTACCGAGCCCGAAATACTCCTGGCCCACACGGCCTAACCCCTTTTGAGATCATGTATGGGGCCCCACCTCCTGTTGTAGACTTTCTCCATCCTGATATTTCCTCCTTTGCTACCACCCCTACTTTAGAGGCACATCTTCAAGCCCTCCAACTGGTGCAGAGGGAGATCTGGAAGCCCCTGGCCAAGGCCTACCAGGAGCAGCTAGACAAGCCGGTGGTGCCCCACCCCTTCCAGATCGGGGACTCCGTCTGGGTCCGACGACACCAGACCAAGAATCTGGAACCACGGTGGAAGGGGCCCTACACTGTCTTGCTGACCACCCCCACTGCACTCAAGGTCGACGGGATTACTGCATGGATCCACGCCTCGCATGTGAAGGCTGCCAGGGAACCCGACCCAGCAGGATCCAGAAAGTCAACATGGACAGTGCGCCGCACACGGAACCCCCTAAAAATAAGGTTGGCCCGCGGCTCCTCTTCCTCCCCCTCCTCTTAATCTCTGCCTACCCCCAGGGGACTAGGGCGGCAGAGAGCCCGCACCTAGTTAAGAGGCTCACTTGGCAGGTTATCTCACAAACTGGGGAGATGGTCTGGCAAACGACCGCCCTTCACACCCCCTTCACATGGTGGCCCAACTTGCATCCAGATCTCTGCCAACTAGTAGCAGGGTCAGGGGACTGGGACATCCCTACCACTGACCCCATGAACCCCAGAGCACCAGACGTCTGTCAGGATGGTAAGGGGACTTGCAAATGTAGTGACGGGAGATATGGATGTGGTCACCCTGAAACCAGAGCAGCCCTGTCACAACTATCCTTTTACGTCTGTCCCCGGGATGGTAGGGACAGAAAGATGATTAGACAATGTGGGGGTTATGAAAGTTACTTCTGTAAAGCATGGGGATGTGAAACAACTGGTAATACCTATTGGGAGCCTTCATCCACTTGGGACCTCATTAGGGTAAAAAGGGCTACCCAAAGAGAAAGCCACTCATGGCGTCCTCTTACTCAAGGACGTTGTTGGGGAACTGTCACGTCAGGAAGAGATAACACTTACTGGAAAGGGGGGGGGGCCCTGTGTAAATTTCACCTGCAACCCCCTGAATATATCTTTTACTCAAAAGGGAAGGGAGATAACACAAGACTGGATTAAAGGTAGAACATGGGGACTTAGACTTTACATGACGGGATGGGACCAGGGAGTCGTGTTTACGATTAGGCTTAAAATCACAGAGCCCTCCGCCTCTATAGGTCCCAACCAGGTTCTCTCTGACCAAAAGCGCCCCTCTTTACCCGCTCCGGCACCCCCGAGGGCTACCCCCCGACCCAATTCGGCCATTCGCTCAAGCACGGCTCCGAATGCCACTATAACCCCAGTCACCCTCCAGCCACCCAGGCCCGGTACGGGAGACCGGCTATTGAATCTTATAGAGGGCGCTTACTCAGCCCTCAATGTTACCAACCCAAATCAGACTCAGGAATGCTGGTTATGCCTAGTCTCCACACCCCCCTATTATGAGGGGGTGGCCGTAGTCGGAAGCTTCACCAATTCTTCTTCACCCCCGTCAGGATGTGCCTCGACACCTCAGCATAAGCTCACAATCTCCGAGGTGTCAGGACAAGGACTATGTCTGGGGATAGTACCCTACACCCACCAACACCTGTGTAATCGCACCCAGGCACTTGTTCCAGGACCCCACTATCTCGTGGCTCCCAACGGGACTTATTGGGCCTGTAGCACTGGACTTACACCATGCCTCTCCTCCTCAATACTAGCCAACACGGCCGATTATTGTGTGCTCATAGAACTGTACCCCAAGATAGTCTACCGTGCACCTGAAGATATCTATGCCCGATATGAGACAGGGGTCCCCCGTATAAAAAGGGAGCCAGTCTCGCTAACCCTGGCCCTGATACTAGGTGGGTTAACTATGGGAGGAGTCGCTGCCGGAATAGGCACAGGTACCACTGCCCTCATGGAAACCAACCAGTTCAGACAACTCCAGGTTGCCATGCATACCGATATCCAGGCACTGGAGGAATCCGTGAGTGCCTTGGAAAAGTCACTCACCTCCCTGTCTGAAGTAGTTCTGCAGAACCGGAGGGGATTAGACCTCCTCTTCCTGCAGGAGGGGGGGTTATGTGCCGCCCTTAAAGAAGAATGTTGCTTCTATGCGGATCATACTGGGGTGGTGAGAGATAGCATGGCTAGATTAAGAAAAAGATTAGAGCAAAGACAAAAACTCTTTGAAGAACAGCAGGGATGGTTTGAAGGATGGTTCAGAAGGTCCCCCTGGCTCACCACCCTCATCTCCACCCTTATGGGACCCCTTCTGATTTTATTGCTCCTTCTGACGCTCGGGCCCTGTATCCTAAACAGACTTGTCCAATTTATCAGGGAACGCGTTTCTACTATTCAGACCTTGGTATTGACACAACAATACCAACGACTCAACCAGGTGGAAATGGAGCCACATCCCTATTCTTCCCCATGAATGGAGGATTCCATTCCCTGAGATAAGAAAATGGGGGAATGAAGGGCCCCAGCATACTTGCTTAGCTTAACGCCATTTTTGAGCAGGGCCTGAAAAGTAACTAGAGGTCAGAAAAACAACTTGTACCCTGGATGAGAGCCAAGTCAGCAGGCGTGTCGAGCTCGGGGAAAAACCACGAGCTGTCCTGAGTTTGAACCTGGCCTCATACGAATCGTCCAATCAGAACCCTGTAAACTATGCTTCCTGCTTCTGTACCCGCCCTTCCGCTGCCCAACCCTATAAAAACCCTCCACTCCAGCCCGTGGGCGCGCCAGTCTCTTCAGCCTCTGGAGGGACTGTATCGCCCCGGGTACCCGTGTTCCTGAATAAAGCCTCTTGCTGTTTGCATCTGACTTGTGGTCTCGGTGTAATCTCTGGGCGAGGGTCTCTCCAGAGGGAAGACTCCAGTCGGGGGTCTTTCACTTGTGTATATATGATTTCAGGGCTGACCGTTTTGTATTGGACAGCCAACTAGAGGCTCATCCCTGGGAAAGGCTAACTCTCCCTCTCTCAGCAGTCCTCAGTTGCCTGTAGTTCTTTGTCTAAAGGTGGGACCCTCTGAGATTTCCCCTTCTGTGTCTACATGTCCATTGGTGCTGCCCTTGTTCAGGCCTTGTTTAGGCAGTCATATTATTGAGGTATCATAGGTGAAGCTTCCCTGTCATTTCTAGGAGACACAATCTCGCAGCAGGTTTCCTGTCCTCTGACTCTTATAATCTTTCCGTCCCCTCTTCCACAATGCTCCCCAAGCCTTAGATGCAGGAGTTGTGTTGGAAATGTATCCAGTGGGGCTGGGCACCTCATGACTAGTTGTCCTTTGTATTTTGACTAGTTGTGGTTTTCTTTAAAGGTCTCTCTGTTGTAAAGAGAAGTTTCTCTGATGAGTGGTAAGAGCCACATTTATCTGTAGGTGTAATCTTATTAAGGTATAGCTAAGTTCAATTTTCAAGTATACTATTGAGAATTTTTCCACTTACGTTCATCAGGGACATTGTTTTATAGTTCTGCTTTGTGTATTCTCTTCTAAAATTTCATTTCATTTCTCCATAGTGTATGTGTTTCTGTGTGAGAATATATGATGAAAATATGTCTTCTAACTAGAAAAATAGACTTTGAGGTGTGATGCTGATTCTTACCCAAGTAAAATGACACAATTCAAAAGACTCAGATTCCTTCAGGCATCCCAACAAAAGACAACTGCCCAAAAAACCTCCCTTCTAACTTATTTGAGTGACACATTATTCATTATTTTAAATTATAGTCACCCAGTGTGCCATGCAACACCAGAATTTATTACTTCTATCTAATTGTAACATTATATTCACCATCCAACCTTTCCATGACCCCTCCATTGGCCTTCCCTGGTCTCTGCCGAGTATTAGTCAAGATCAATGTTTTTAGATTCCACATGGGTTAAATGATGTGATATTTGTATTTCTATTACTGTCTTGTTTCACTTAACATAGTGTCATTCAGGTCTCTCTATGTTACTGTCCATGGCAGGACTTCATGACTTTTTTTTAGTGAATTACTGGTATTTCATTGTGTAAATATACCACAAATTCTTTATTCATTCATTACTTATTGGTCATTTAGCTGCAATATAACTATCATTTTGGCTTCCCATGGCTCAAGAACAAATAATAGAGAAAACACAACATTTTTAGTCACATATTTAAAATATGGGCACTAACAATCTTATATCCAGCCAAGCTGTCCATCAAGCATGATGGTTTCAGACAGTGTTCATGTACGAACCCTGAAGAAATGGTGATTGTTTCCACATGTTCATAAGGAACCCACTAGGGGGAAGCCTTAAGTCAATCTTTATTCACTCTTCCATACAAAACAACCCAGAAAGCAATGTACAATGAAGTAGTGTATTTTGGTGATTCAAAATACAGTGGAGTCAGGTAACAAGGAGTGTGAAACTCTAGCCCAGATTTTAACAGTCATAAGACTGGGACTTAACTTTTTAACACCTTAGCCTCTCCATCTGTCAGTTCATTCACACTACTGTTTTTCTTACATAGTGTGGTGGTTTGAATTAGAATGCCCCCATAGGCTCATATATTTGAATGTTTTGTCACCAAGGAGTGGAACGGTTTGAGAAACAGTAGGGGTGTGTGGGGGGGCATTTACCCAACCACCCCCGCAGTTCCCCAGAGTTTTCTTGAGTGCGAGCAGCAGGAAATATTAGATAGAAGGATTTACTGAGGAGAATATCGCAGAGATAAACAGATAGAAAATAAAGGATAGCCTTGAGAGGGCCTGGAACCTATTCCAACGGGCCCCGACTGTCTCTGCCCCAGGGTTTTTATAGAGACGCCAAGGGGTGGAGCAAAAGACCTCCTCCCCCAGCACAGTCAAGTGCAGACCATCTCAGACACCTGCACTCAGGCCCGTGGTCCTAATCATCCTCTATGCGGACCTGCTGGGTAAAGCCACGAGGAACCCGAGAACGGGCTCCCACAGGTGTGGCATTGTTAGAGTAGATGTGGCCTTGTTGGAGGAAGTGTGTAACTGGGGGTGGGCTTTAAGGTTTCAAAAGCCCATGCCAGGCCCAGTCTCAATCTCTCTCTCTCTCTCTCTCTCTCTCTCTCTCTCTCTCTCTCTCTCTCTCTCTCTCTCTCTCTCTCTCTCTCTCTCTGCCAGAAGTCTGGGGATCAGGATGTAAAGCTCTCTGCTACTGCTCCAGTACCATGTCTGTCTGCTTCTAGCCAGGATGATGAAGAACTAACCTTTTAAAACTGTAAGCAAGTTCCCAACTAAATGCTTTCTTTTATAAGAGTTACCGTGGTCCTCACAGCAATACAACGGTACCTAAGACACAGAGTTTGGTAGCGTCACTGTTTTAAAATCATAGTTACTGTTAGCTGCATTGATAATAGCAGGAGCAATAGGAGAATGCTTCTATAGCATGTTTTATGCCAGGGATTGTATTCCGTGCTAACACACACACACACACACACACACACACACACACACACACACACACACAGAGAGAGAGAGACTCATAAAAATCCCTGCAATTTGATGACCGTGGCTCCATTGTCACCTCTATTTTACCACATCAGGAAAGTTAAGCACAAAGTACCAGACATATTAACTGAAAATAACAGCTTGTGAAAACGCAGAGTTACTAAGGGCAGCATCAGAAAATACTTTGAAAATCATTACCGTCCCTTCTCTGGCAAACATGGACACGTGAACTATCTCATGATGCAGACAAGCACATCAAGGTCCTTGGACCAACAGCCATCCTTTATTTTTACTTATTTGTTTTAACAATTCTGGTTCCTTTTGAAAATTTTGGACATATTCATCTCCCCTCCTTCAATTTTTCCCATTGCCACCCTCTCCACCTTCTCACCCAACTTTGGGCAGATACACACACAAACTCACAGTGATTGTGAAAGCATGCAAAAGATCTGTAAAAGCTCCACGCAGACAATATTCCAGCATAGAAGTAGGAAGTGGGGCACAAAAACACAAAAAAATTCCAACAGCTATTCTGTATAATTACTCAGCACATGCCTAGTTGCTTTCCCTATGCTATGCCACAAAATCCTTATTCCCAAACCTGTGGGGAAAGCATGGTGTACTCATTCAAAACAACAGGGGCTAAGCATGTTATTCGCTAGTCCATTTGTCCGTTTGTCTGGGGATAATCTCCATCTTCATTGAACTTACAGTGCAATAAAGGGAATTGATAATAAACATGCACATCAATAGGTGCAAATGTGAATTATTGATACAAATATAGAGTAGACATCAGGCAGAAGCAATGGAGATTGAGTAAGTGACATGATGTCCTTTTCTTTAAAATAAATAAATAAATAAATAAATTTATTTATTTATATTTGTTTGTTTATTTATTTTACATCCTAGCCACAGTTTCCCCTACCTCCTCTCTTCCAAGTCCCTCCCTGCAAAACTCTGTTCCCACCCCCCAATCCACTCCTCCTCCATTTCTGTTTAGGAAAGGGCAGGTCTCCCATGAATATCAACAAAACATGACATGTTTCTGTTTAGGAAAGGACAGGTCTCCCATGAGTATCAACAAAATGTGGCATATCAAGTTGTAGTAAGATTAAACATATACCCCATTTATTAAGGCTGGGTGAGGTGACCCAGTATGAGGAGGAGGGTCCCAAAAACCTATAAAAGAGTTCCAACTGTTAGGAGTCCCACAAGAGGACCAAGCTACACAACTGTCACATATATGCAGAGAGCCTAGGTCAGTCCCATGCAGGCTCCCTGGTTATCAGTTCAGTCTCTGTGAACCCCTGTGAGCCCAGGTTAGTTTATCTTGTGTGTTTTCTTGTGGTGTCCTTGACTCCTCTAGCTCCTACAATTCTTTGTCCTCCTCTTCTGCAGGATTCCCTGAACTCCTCCTAATGTTTGTCTGTGGGTTCACGTCTGTTTCCATCAGTTGCTGGATGACACTTCTCTGATGACAGTTGGGGTAGGCATCAATCTGCTCACAGGAGATGGCCAGTTCAGACTACGTATCTGCTATTGCTACATGTCCTTTCCTGACCAAATGCTTCGCAAGAAGCAACTTAAGAGATTTCTCCTGGTTTACAATTTGAGGTGACACAGTCTATTATTCCAGGAAAGGCATGATGGGAGGAACGTGAGTTTGTTGGTCACATTTAGCCTGCATTTGGGAAGCAGAGAGAAGATAGGAAGTGGGGCCAAGACATAAACACTCGAGGCTCACCCTTGGAGACTCACCTTCTCCAAGGAAGTGCCACCTTCCAAAATAGTGCCCCCTGCTGCTGATAAAGTGTTCAGACGTGAATCTATGTTGGACATTTCACTATCAAATATCAGCACATGGGTTCTCTGGGATCTGAAGAAAAGGAGTGAATGAGTCTGGTCTGATAACTTTGAGGAATAGTGTTTGGGGGCCAACAGTGTTGAAATGCATATGCTTTTAAAGAATATTCTGTTTAGATGTTTGAGGGATGACAGGGAGTTCATTGGTTTGAATGAGTGAGGGCATGATTTGTCTGTCTGTGGTGTTTTGTATTGGCAGTTTTAGCAGACTAATATAATAGATTCATACATCTCACATACAATTGTTCTAATCTTTTTTGTTATTATTATTATTATTATTTTTTGCAACAGAGTTTCTCTGTGTAGCCCTAGCTGACCTGGAACTCACTTTGTAGATGAGGCTGGCCTTGACCTCACAGAGATCCACTTTCCTCTGCCTCCTGAGTGTTGGGATTAAAGGTATGTGCCACCATGCCTTCCAATTGCCCTACTCTTAAATTCACAAATACTCATGATGTTTGAGAACTTAATATTCTTATGCTGTGTGACTATGAAGCACAGATAAGAA